ATATAAAAGTAAAATGCATGCCAAAAAATAACATAAAGGTGGAAAGAAATATAAGTATATATTATAAGGTTATTACATTATACATTAGGTGGTAAAACATCAACTGAAGTTAAAGATGTATATTTTAAACCCTAAAACAGTCATTAAAATAACAAAACAGTTTTAGTTAAGAGGAAAACAAAGAAGATAAGAAATAAGGGCCCAGCATGGTGGCTTAAGCCTGTAATCCCAGCACTTTGGGAGGCTGAGGCAGGTGAATCACAAGGTTAGGAGTTTGAGAACAGCCTGAACAACATGGTGAAACCCCATCTCTACTAAAAATACAAAAATTAGCTGGGCGTGGTGCTGTGCACTGGTAATCCCAGCTACTCAGGAGGCTGAGGCAGGAGAATCGCTTGAACCCGGGAGGTGAAGGTTGCAGTGAGCCGAGAGTGCGCCACTGCACTCCAGTCTGGGCAACAGAGAGAGACTCCATCTCAACAAAAAAAAAAAAAAAAAGAAATAAGAAATAATGCAAGAGAGAACAAAGAACAGATAGGACAATTAGAAATGAAACAGCAAGATGACAGACTCAAACAAAACTACATCAATAATCACATTAAATGTATGTGAACTAAACACCCAAATTAAGAGAGAGAGACTGATTATGAGACTGGGTATAAGAAGTAAGATCCAACCATATGCCGCCAACAAGAAACGCACTTCAAATATAAAGATACAAATACATTTGACCCTTCCACAGATGGATTTAAACTCCATGGGTCTACTTACACATGGATTTTTCTCAATACATACACTGGAAAAATTTTTGGAGATTTGCAGCAATGTGAAAAAACTTGCAGATGAACAGCATAGCCTAGAAATATTTTTTAAATTAAGAAAAAGATGGCTGGGTGCAGTGGCTCATGCCTGTAATCCCAGCACTTTGGGAAGCCGAGGTGGGTGGATCACGAGGTCAAGAGATCGAGACCATCCTGGTCAACATGGTGAAACCCCATCTCTACCAAAAATACAAAAAATTAGCTGGGCATAATCCCAGTTACTCAGGAGGCTGAGGCAGGAGAACTACCTCAACCCAGGAGGCAGAGGTTGCGGTGAGCTGAGATCGCGCCATTGCACTCCAGCCTGGGTAACAAGAGTGAAACTCCGACTCAAAAAAAAAAAGAAAAAGATATGCCACAGATGCATAAAATATATGTAGATATTAGTAATATATTATAATTTACAACCATAAATACACACAAATCTTTTACAAAAAGTTAAAATTTATTAAAATTTACACAAACACAGACTGTACCGGGCACAATTTGTAGAGAAAAATATAAACAAACGTAAAAGTGCAGTATTAAATCATAACTGCATAAAGGTAGTTATATACGGTATGTACAACAATCTCATAGCTACTATAGTAAGCTCAAGTGTTACAAGCATCCACATAAAACACCCTGTGATGCTAATCATCTCACGAGCAGTTCATCTCTCAGTAGTAAACTGTGTGTCACGGTAAAAAGCAATCTCTTGTGTTCTCACCTTATTTTTCATCAGGTTTAGTGCAATACTGTAAACCTTAATTAACACCATGGGACCCTATGAAGTACTTACTAATGAGGCTAGAAGTACTCCCAAGAAGCAGAGAAAAGTCACAACATTAGACGTAAAAGTTTAATTTCTTAGTATGTACTGTAGATTGAGGTCTGCAGCTGCAGCTCCCTGCCATTTCAAGACAAATCCAGCATAAAGACAACTTACAAAATTTTTTCTTATGAAAAAAATAAGCACATTGTGAAGCTGTTGCTACAGCTATGCCAGCAAGTGAGACAATCTTGCATATTTTGTGAAATACAAAATGTGTTACTCAACTATTTACATTATCCCAGCTCTTACTGTTGCCTTCGAGACAACAGTAAGCTATCAGTTATGTTTTTGGGGAGGCAAAATTTATACTTGGATTTTTTTTTTGAGACAGTCAAGTTCTTATTGCCCAGGCTGGAGTGCAGTGGTGCAATCTCAGCTCACTACAACCTCTACCTCCTGGGGTTCAAGCAATTCTCTTGCTTTAGCCTCCCAAGTTAGCTGAGGTTACAGGCACCTGCCACCATGCCTGGCCATTGTGTATTTTTAGTAGAGATGTGGTTTTACCATGTTGGCTAGGCTGGTCTCTAACTCCTGACCTCAAGTGATCCACCTGCCTCAGCCTCCCAAAGTGCTGGGATTATAGGCATGAGCTACCGCGCCTGGCCCATACTTGGATTTTTGACCACATAAAGAGTTGGTGCCCCTAATCTCCATGTTCTTCAAGGGTTAACTATGGTTTAAAAGTAAACGGATGAAAAAAAATGCTAACACTAATCAAAAGAAAGCTCTAATGGTTATAATAATATCAAAGTATATGTGAAAGCAAAGAATATTAATAGAGATTTTAAAAGCTTGATAAAATTGATATACCTCTAACCCGGTTAATCAGAAAAAAAGAAAGGCCACAAATTATCAATAGCAGGAATGAGACAACATCATTACAGATGCCACAGATATTAAAATAAGGGGATACCTATAACTTTATGGTAATAAGTTTAAAAACTTAAACGAATCAATTCTTGAAACTCAGATTACTAAAGTTCACTCAAGTAAAAACAGATAAGCTACAGCTGTGTATCTATTCAAGAAATTAAGCCAGGTGCAGTGACATGCACCTGTAGTCTCAGCTACTCAGAGTCTGAGGAAGACTGCTTGAGGCCAGGAATTCGAGGCTGTAGTGCACCATGACTGCACTTGTGAATAGCCACTGCACTCCAATCAGGAAAACATAGTAAGATGCCATCTCTAAATAAATAAATAACTTTGTTGTTGCTGTTGTTATTTGAGACAGAGTCTCACTCTCTCACCCAGGCCGGAGTGGTGTGGTGTGATCTCGCTGACTGTAACCTCTGCCTTCTGGGGTCAAGTGATTCTCCTGCCTCAGCCTCCCAAAGAGCTGGGATTGCAAGGACCCGCCACCACACCCGCTAATATTTTGTATTTTTAGTAAAGACATGGTTTCACCAAGTTGGCCAGGCTGGTCTTGAACTCCTGATCTCAAGTGATCTGCCAACCTCAGCCTCCTAAAGTGGAAGCGTTACAGGTGTGAGTCACTGCATCTTGACAATAAATAATTTTAAAATGAAAAAGTGGTAATAATATCTTGTGGGCATGGTGGCACATGATTGTAATCCTAGCTACTTGGGAGGCTGAGGCGAGGGGACTGCTTGAGCCCAGGAGTTCAAAACTAGCCAGGCAACACAGTGAAACACCCATCTCAAGACAAAATTAAACAAAATAAAATTAAAAATAGCTTCCTTTCTTGCTCCCCGGCCATCTTAGCGTCTGCTCTTGGCTGGGGGCTGTCCCACACCTAAGGCAGGAAGATGGTGGCCGCAAAGAAGACGAAAAAGTCGCTGGAGTCGATCAACTCTAGGCTCCAACTCGTTATGAAAAGTGCAAAGTACGTGTTGGGGTACAAGCAGACTCTGAAGATGATCAGACAAGGCAAAGTGAAATTGGTCATTCTCGCTAACAACTGCCCAGCTTTGAGGAAATCCGAAATAGAGTACTATGCAATGTTAGCCAAAATTGGTGTTCATCACTATAGTGACAATAATATTGAACTGGGCACAGCATGTGGAAAATACTACAGAGTGCGCACACCGGCTATCACTGATCCAGGTGATTCTGACATCATTAGAAGCATGCCAGAACAGACTGGTGAAAAGTAAACCATGCAAAATTTTCCTTTAATAAAATTTTTCCGAGCTTGTTTTAAAAGAAAAAAAATTAAATTAAAAATAAATTGAAATTGTAGATAAAAATTCTACCCCCCCCAAGAAAAAAACAAAACTTTGAAAGTGCACACTGAGATGAATTCACTAGTGAATTCTCCACATTTAAGAAAGAAATCATTGTAACTGCATGGATAACTGTACAATTTTACTTTTAGAAAAGATAAAGGGAGGAAATATCCCCCCGCCCTGCCCAACTCACTGAACAAGGTCAACCTTACCCTGATTCCAAAACCAAAGACATTACAAGAAAACAAAACTACAGAATAATATCTCTTTTCAGTGGTGAGGCAAAAATTCTAAACAAAGTTAGAGCAAATTGAATCCAACAACATACTAAAAGGATAATACATCTATAATATTATATACTATATTATATTAACATATTAATATAAGACTGTTTTTTTGGAGACAGAATCTCGCTCTGTTGCCCAAGCTGAAGTGTAGTGGCGTGGTCTTAGCCCACTGCAACCTCCATCTCCCGGGTTCAAATGATTCTCCTGTTTTAGCCTCCTGAGTAGCTGAGATTACAGGCACCCACCACCATGCCAAGCTAATTTTTTGTATTTTTAGTAGAGATGGTATTTCACCATGTTGGCCAGGCTGGTCTCAAACTCCTAACCTAGAGTGATCCACCCACCTCAATCTCCCAAAGTACTGGGATTACAGGCATGGGCCACTGCACCCGGCCAACGTAAAACATCTGTATTAGAACATATCTATATGCCTAGAAATGCTGGGTTTGTTTAACATTCAAAAATTAATCAATGTACTTCAGCATCACAAACTAAAACAAACAAAAAAACATAAGTCATCCCAAAAGATGCAGAAAAAAAATAACAAAACCCAATACCCACTCCTGATAAAACTCAACAAACAAGAAAGAGAAGAGAACTTTCTCCACCAAATTCAGAGCATCTATTAAAACCTATAGCTAACATCATACTTAGTGGTAAGGGGAACAAACTGCTGATACACATAACATGGGTGAACCTCAATAATTATGCCGAGTGAAAAAAACTAGACAAAAAACAGTATACACTGAATGATTTCATTTACATAAAACTCTAGAAAATGCAAGCTAACACATAGGAACAGGAAGTGAACTATGGTTGCTCGGGGATGAAGGGAAACAAGCAGAGAGAGGAGGTATAAGCACAGGTCACAGCGGAACTTTTGGGATCTTACCTTAAAGAAAGAATGAATAGCAGCTGTCGCTTCACTGCGAATCCTCAATATAGATCCCAGAATGTTAGTCCTACACCTCAAGTGAGGATATTGTCTCAGGTACTCCAGAGGATGCCTTTCTTTGTATCTGATGGGGAAAGTCTGCCAATAAATGAAAAGAACAAATTAGAAGCCAAATGAGATACTGTTTAGGAAAATCCATTTCCAGGGTATTTCTTAAATAGTGCTTCAGAACCAAACTAAGATGCTTTCCTTCTTTATTTCTTTATATAACTGATTTTAATCCACACTATTTCCACCAGATAAGTGGAATGGCAGGATGGAATCAGAAAGATGTAGGTTTGAATCTAGCTCTACTACTAATTAGCCAAGTAACTGAGCTAATAACACTGAAGCTCATCTGTTATTTACCGAGTTTGTATCCAATCACTTCCTACAAATAGGTTAGGATTAATTATGCAAAATATCTACTGGCACACAGGAGTTCAAAATATTGTCGATATTAAAAATGTACACACAAGGCTGGTGTTCAATTTTAAAATCACCTATATGTCTTGAAAGCCCACAATCATCCATGTCTTGAAAGCCCACGATCATTGATAATCAATTGGTGCAATTTATTACTACTATCAACATGCTACTGGTGTCTAAGAACATGAGGGAGGGTAAGCAGCTTTCTTCCAGCTAGCAGAGTAGTGAAGATTTACACAAAATTTGAAAAATTATGGCTCCACCTTGAAATATGTCTAACCTGCTCATATTCATGTTACAAGATTAACACAGACACATCCTTTCAGACAAAAATCAAAGTTTTAATTAAAAAGATAACAGAGAAACTAAAACAAGAGCTACACTGGCAGCCTGTTTCTTTCAGTTTCATCTTTTCCTTGTAAGTCTTGTACACACACAAACTTATATATTGTACAATAACAAGCACCATACTTATTAAAAGTGAAAATGTGGCTGGCACGTTGGTCACCTGGCCTGTGAGGAGCACTGAGCAGAATGAATACCTCCCAAGACCAGAGTGGCAGCTCCAATAATAAAGAACCCCTTTTGAGGTGTAGTGATGCACGGAGGGACCTGGAGCTTGCTATTGGTGGAGTTCTCTGGACTGAGCAGCAAATTAAAGATAACTTGCGAGAGGTCAAACCTTAGATTCACGGTTGCATAAGCCATCACCTGGAATGCCTTAGAAGCCGTGAGGTGTGGCTATATGAACAGGTGGACCTCATCTATCAGCTTAAAGAGGAGATACTTCGGCAGCAAGCTCAGCAGCTGTACTGGTTATTGGGCCAGTTCAACTGTCTTACTCATTAACTGGAGTGTACCCAAAACAGAGATCTAGCCAAACAAGTCTCCGTGTGCCTGGAGAGACTGGGCAGTTTGACCCTCAAGCCTGAAAATTCAACTGTCCTGCTCTTTGAAGCCGACACAACTGCTCTGCACCAGACCATCACCACCTTTGGGTCTCTCAAAACCATTCAAATTCCTGAGCACTTGATGGCTCATGCTAGTTTATCAAATATCGGGCCCTTCCTGGAGAAGAGAGGCTATATCCCAATGCCAGAGCAGAAGCGAGCATCCGTATTGCAACTGTCCCTCTCAGCGAATGGCACCTTGGAAGCAAACCTGCCAGTTGTCATCAGGCTCCTTACATACCCAGCACCAACCCCCAGGACTGGCTCATCCAAAAGCAGACCTTAGAGAATAGTCAGACTTCTTCCAGAACTGCAATTTCTTCAGTAATGTCTGGGGAAACCTAAAGGACTTAGAAAACTGGCTCCTCAAGAGTCAGCAACAGGAAATTCCAGAAAAACCAAGTTATCAAAAGTGTAACAGCCATTCCACTACTAGTTCTTTCTCCACTGAAATGAAAAAGGTTGAAGATCTAGAGCTTCCTGATCAACATAAGATGGACTTATCAGATTGGCTGGTGACTCCCCAGGAATCCCATAAGCTGGGGAAGCCTGAGAATGGCAGTCATTAAATCAGTGAGAAGTTTAAGCTCTTGTTCCAGTCCTACAATGTGAATGATTGGCTTGTCAAGACTGACTCCTGTACCAACTGTCAGGGAAACCAGCCCAAAGGTATGGAGATTGAAAACCTGGGCAATCTGAAGTGCCTAAATGACTACTTGGAGGCCAAGAAACCATTGTCCACCCCCAGGGTGGTTACAGAGGATTGGCTTGTCTAGAACCATCACAACCCATGTAAGGTAGAGGAGGTGTACAGAGCCAATGAACCCTGCACAAGGTTTGCAGAGTGCGTGTGTGATGAGCATTGTGAGAAGGAGGCTCTGTATAAATGGCTTCTGAAGAAAGAAGGAAAGGATAAAAATGGGATGCCCATGGAACCCAAACCTGAGAAGCATAAAGATTCCCTGAATATGTGGCTCTGTCCTTCTAGAAAAGAAGTAATAGAACAACCTAAAGCACCAAAGGCAATGGTTCCTTCTAGAATTGCTGATTCCTTCCAAGTCATAAAGAACAGCCCCTTGTCGGAGTGGCTTATCAGGCCCCTATACAAAGAAGGAAGTCCCAAGGAAGTGCCTAGTACTGAAGACAGAGCTGGCAAACAAAAGCTTAAAAGGCTGATGAGCACTTTCTGGTGTTCCATTAACACAGCAGACTGGGTCCTGCCAGGAAAGAAGATGGGCAACCTCAGCCAGTTATCCTCTGGAGAAGACAAGTGTAAGATTCAAAAGAAGGCCCAGAAGAAGTACTACTTAATTCACCTCTACAGGAGGAACATAAGTTCCCCCCAGACCATTACGGTCTCCCTGCAGTTTGTGATCTCTGCCTGCATGCAGCTTAAAGTTGATAAAGAGAAGTGGTTATATTGAACTCCTCTACAGATGTGAAGACAAGAAGTGAGCTGCCTTTCTGCCAATTATCACACATCATGAGCTGAGTGACTGCAGCTTGCCAAATCATTGTTTCTGGGTCTGACCAGTTAGCTTAGTTCTTCTCTCAACTAATTTTGAACTAGTAAAGCAAAGCGAGTCATCAGATTTATGAGTTACTGTTTAAAAGAAAAATGCTGTTTATTGATTATTAGCTGATTCAGTTCCTTCCTTCTTACAGAAGTGTTAATTTACTCCCACACAGCCTCTTTGTGGATACATCTTTTTCACAAGCCTCCAAGGCTCCTTAGATTGGGTCGTTACTAAAAGTACATGAAAACACTCACTCTAGTTTTAAAAATGAAATATTTCTGTAATCAAGGTGTATTGATATATTCTAAAGTTAGTAAACTTCCCTAACGTTTAATTGCCCTATAGATGCTTCTCTTGCTATGGGTTTTCTTGTTAGTGGTCTGAAATAATGATTTTTCCTGTTCTATTAATATATAGTGTATTTTGCACAAAAAAATAACCTGGCTAATAGTGATTATCAAAATATGTATTAATAATCTTAGCAATTTTTGACATTACCTAACATTTTAGCCTACATGTTCTACATTACTATTCACCTGAAACTCAGCTACTGCAAATTTTTTTCTTTCTATAAATGTTACTAAAATATCCCGTGAGCTCTTTTAGAAGAGTTCGGTATTACTTCTAGACTATTTTTGAGGTAGTTCTAGCCTTTTAAAATATTTTATAGACCTACAAGATTTAAAAGAACCCCAGTACCAACTAAGCAAATAGGCAAAGACATGTTGGAAATGTAGTATAGTACTTGAACTATTCATTATACTGGTACATCCTGTGTAAAAGGAAACTGAGCTTGACACCTGGTGCTTTTAATTAGGGATACAGTCGTCCTTCTCCTGTAAGCACAGCACACCTGTACCTCAAAGGTGACGTTTTAGTGAATAGGCTGTTTTCAACACTTGTGACTTGGGGTGTTCATTGAAGCTTTATGAAAACTACTGATGTTTTCTCAATCTCCTTAAAGTCGTGTCCATGCTTTAAAATGTCTCTGTAGGAGAGAAGTGGGGTTCATAATGTTTTTAAATATCTAAAGATATCTTTGCTGCTTTCCAGACTTTGAAACTATTAAGCTTCTTAACTGCCTGTTATTGGAAATACTTCTGGGGAAACTTCATGGTCCCACAATGTTACTGCCATATAGCTTCACTAGAGTTCTTTGAACCACAGCTGGAAAGAGCTTTGCATTATTTTTTAATTCCCTCCCCAGATATCACTTAGAACTATTATAATAAAGTGGTGGGCAAAAACAACATAAGGAGCCTTTCAGTTATCTTAAGTTGCAGCTAACTCTGTAGTTTCTTTTTTGAGGCCAAATACACTGTATTTTACATTGTCAAAATATAATTTACATGAATCACTATGTTAATGAGCATGTAAAACATTCTTTTGCATTGATGAATTTTGTATCTGCCTCCATTAAAAGCATAACAGCCATAAAAAAAAAAAGTAAAAGTGAAAATATAACCATATCATAATTCAAGGGGTCAGAATTCCCTATGTCGGAATATTTTAGAATGATACTTAATCTAAGAGAAGGGAAGATGAAGGCATCAATGCCAAGAGAAGCTAAGGAAGAACAATTTAAGAATACAACAGTCCCTGGCTTATCCACAGGGGATATATTTCAAGACTGCCAGTAGATCCTTCCTTTATTTCTTTACATTTTTTTCCTATAATACTGAAAGAATTAACAATGAATTAAAGTGATGCAGTTTCCCTGTATTTTCTCATTTTTGTTCATTAACTGTTTGAAGACAGGTATAGCAAAAACACAGAGGAATCAAACGGCTAGAATATAAATTTCAGTTGTGTCACATCAGCTCAGGCAAGTCATTTCATCTGGCTGGGCCTCATTTTCTCCACTATAAAGAATTTTATTAATAATCTTTTATTCCCTCTAACTTCTTTATCAAATTTATAAATACAAAGCTAACAGAAGAGTCTTGCAAAAACAGACATAAACATGTCTTATTATAGAATTTCTTGCCTCTGTTCAGCCTAAGCATTACAATACTATAGATTAGCATCACCCAACAGAACTTTCTGTGATAAATGGAAATGTTCTGTATCTGTGCTATTCATTGTAGTAGCCAGGAGCCACATGCAACTACTAAGTACTTGAAATGTGGATAATGCCACTTTGGAACTGAATTTTTTACTGAATTTTAATTGATTTAATGCCAAACAGCCAAAGGTGGCTAGTGCCTTCCATTACTGAATGATCGGTTCTAGATCATGCAAAGGTCATTCCTGGTTTCCCTAAGAATGAGCCTGCCTTGGTATATCACTGTGGCTGATAGGGCATGCTTATAAAAGCAGCAAGTTTTAATTGTGACACACACCACAGAGATGCAAAAATTAACACTTAGCTCTCATTAAGCTATCTACATAAAAAATTTTTGCTACTGCCTCTACAGGTCTTATGGCTTGTTTCAATTACCTAGTAAGTCACAAATGAAATATATTCTAAGTTTCACCTTCCTAATAATCACACTTAAAACAGATTGCTCTCTTAAATTAAGCCTAAACAGCCTCCACAAAAGTATCAGAAATCATACCTTGGCATCACAGTTTCCAATAACTTTAATGTTTTCTGCCTTCAGTTCCACATTTTGCCTTTTGGATGGACTTTTTACCAGCTGCCCTTGGACTTCTACAGAACTCCCAAAAGTTAATTCTCTATTACAATTAAAAAAGATAAACAAAATATCATTATATAAAACCTTCATTTGAATATAAACTTTGTAATAAGAATATTAAAACACTTAAGGACAAATGGTTTTACCCTTAATTGGGTTAAATAATCTTCAAAATCTATGAATATTCTGTTGCATAAAGTATAAAAGTATAAAAATTAATTACATAAGCTTTAAAATGCAAACAAACAGCTAAGAATTTGTATAATTAATTAATTCAGAATTAAGAGGCCATAGAATTGTCTTATTAAAAAATTAGTTGGCCAAAAAACTTTTTCAAAGATTACAGAATACATGCAAAACCTGCAAAATCAAAATAAAATCAGCTGGGAATTCTCAGGTGACTGGTGATCTGAATACATATAGTGCTACTTTCTGGTTAATAAGACTAAGTTTGAGTTTAAGTTCACCCACAAATTAACTGTATGACAACTATGGAAAGTCATCTAAGTTCATTTGTTTTAAGAATCATCTATTAAAAAGGAGCTAGTAAATGACAGTACATCTGTTCTAATTCTTTTTTCTTTTCTTTAAAGAGACCAGGTCTCACTATGTTGACCAGGCTGGTCTCGAACACTTGGACTCAAGCAATCCTCCTGCCTTGGCCTCCCCAAGTGTTGAGATTACAGGCATGAGCCACCACGCCCAGACCATCTGTTCTAGTTCTAACATTTCATAACTATAATAAGTATGACAGTGCCTTCCTAATAAACTATTGAAATATTATAATATAGAAATACAATAAATTTTATTAAAGTAAGTCAGTCAGGAGATTCTCCACCCAGTTTTGTTTGTTTGCTAAATATATGGTATTCTTATATAATTTATATAAATATGACTGTCCACTATTGCATTATGGGTGGCGAAATCTGGTATACTTTCACCAACCTGAGAGGGTGATTTGAGATGCTGACTTAAAATATGTACTACCTGACACATATGAATGTAAATATTATCCTAAGCGTTCCTGGGAATATCTCAAAGAGACAGTCATCCTCCGGAAACTCTAAAATCTAGCTACCATTATACCCATGTGACTGCTATACTGATACAAATAATCAAAATAACTACAGTTTTTTTTTAAAGGTTACCATTAATATTAGGTCCAGGTGTGGTGGCTCATGCCTGCACTTTGGGAGTCCAAGGAGGGCAGATCACTTGAGGTCAGGAGTTCGAGACCAGCCTGGCCAACATGATGAAACCATGCTTCTACTAAAAATACAAAAAGTTAGCCCAGTGTGGTATCGCATACCTGTAATCCCAACTACTCAGGAGACCGAGGCACAAGAATCGCTTGAATTCAAGAGGCAGGGGCTACAGTGAGCCAAGATCATGCGGCTACACTCCAGACTGGGTGACAGAGCGAGACTCTCAAAAAGAAAAAGTTACTATTACATCAGAACAATTTTATCTTGTTCTGCCCAGCTGACCACAGTCCTGTTATCCATGAACCTCTTCAGTGGGTGAACAGCATTAACCCTAACAATCCTCAGAAGAGCAAAGCACTCTTAATCTAACAAATTAAAATAATGTTCTCTTCCTCAGAGCTGATATCAAACATTAAAATGGTGTTAGTTTTGGGTTTCGGGGTTTTTTTGGAGACAGGACTCTGTCACACAGGCTGGAGTGCAGTGACGTGATCTTAGCTCACCACAGCCTTGACCTCCAGGGCTCAAGAGATGCTCTAGCCTCAGCCCCCCAAGTAGCTGAAACTATTGGTGCACACCACCACGCTCAACTCATTTTTGTATTTTCGGTAAAGACAGGGTTTTACCCTGTTGCCCAGGCTGGTCTCGAACTCCTTGACTCAAGTGATCTGTCTTGGCCTCCCAAAGTGCTGGGATTACAGGCGTGAGCCACTGCACCTGGCCTGGTGTTAGTTTTAAAACCTGATGAATGAGACCATAAAGTTTCTTCCATTTGTTCAACAAGCAATAATTTGTCACACTGTAAGCACTATGTTAGAGGCCAAGAATGCAAAAAAGAATGAGATGCCGTTCCTAACCTCATGAAACTAAGAGTCTAACAGAAGGAGTCAAATAAGAATACAGCTGGTTACCATCCAATATGATATATTTTAAGACAGATACAAGCACAGGATGCTTATGGGAGCACAGAAAAGGGGTACTTGACAGTTACGGGATGGAAACATCAGGTGTCTAAGCAGGAACTATGAAAGACAAGAGAAGAAGCTGTACTGGTGCCCAAAAGGCACCTCCCCTTTGGTGATTCTCAATCAATAGTAACTTCCAGGCCAGGCACAGAAATCCCAGCACTTTGGGAGGCCGAGGAGAATGGATCACTTGAGATCAGGAGTTCAAGACCAGCCTGGCCAACATGGTGAAACCCCATCTCTATGAAAAATACAGCAATGTGTACAAATGCTATTAGACAGGAAAGAGCAGAATAGTTTCGGGGAGCTGCAAGTAATTCAGAAAGACTCAAATGAAGCATAGGTGGGGGATATCAGCATACGAAGATGTCAAATAGAGGAGGAAAGGCCAGAGCTTGAAGGATCTTGACTCCAAATATTTGGACTTGATCCTCAAAGCTATGAAAGCAAATTTGTTTCAAAAGATTACTCAGGGGTCAATGTAAACACTGGATTAGGGAAGTGGGAAGCACTGGAGGTGAAAAAACAATCAAAGAATTCTTTTAAAAAACAAAACTCACCTACTGTCAAGGCTTGAATCTGCAACAACCTGAAGGCTTTCCAAAGATGACCCATCATTTACATGCAGGAACAAGACTTCCTTCTGAGATCGGACAGAACGAACCCATCCCTAAGGAAGAGAAATATTTCTAAGGTGAGCATAAAACATTTTACATTTTCATTACACATCACATAGAAGACTAAATGAAAGAAAAACATGTACTCACAATCCTGCCTCAACAAATCAACTTTTTAGTTTACCAATATGTATACTTAATTGTGTATGTTCCAATCGCAGTGAGATACCCTTTTGGTATTCTATCTTTTGTTTTCATAATAAAGCATAACATTTTAAACGGATGCCTAATATTCCTTCATGTTGAAGAGCCTAAGTCACATAACCAATCCTCCTAATATTGGCAATTCCAGGTCCTCCCAGCCCCTTGGCAAAACAATAAATAACAGGGCACATATCCTGGTGCCTTTCTCAGGATATGGGATGCACCCTTATTTCTGGTTTCACTTCACCATGCTGCCCAGAAGGCACTTCCTCTTTGGTGATTCTCAATCAACAGTAATTTCCAGGCCAGGTGCAGAAATCCCAGTACTTTGGGAGGCCGAGGAAAATGGATCACTTGAGGTCAGGAGTTCAGGACCAGCCTGGCCAACATGGTGAAACTCCATCTCTACTAAAAATACAAAACATAGCTGGGCGTGTTAGCACTCGCTTGTAGTCCCAGTTACTTGGAAGGCTGAGGCAGGAGAATCGCTTGAACCTGGGAGGCAGAGCGAGCCAAGATCACCTCACTGCACTCCAGCCTGGGTGACAGAGCGAGACTCCGTCTCAAACAAACAAACAAATTTCCAAACTACCACTTTCTTACTTTTACTTGTTAGTAAAAGTTAACATGTATTGAGCACTTTGTAATGTGCTCCTATTCTAAGCTCGTTATAAATATTATGCTACTTAATCCTCAGAACTTAACAAAGTGGTTATCATTTATCATTTTAGAGCTGAAGAAAATTATTTAGAGATGTCAGGATAATCTCTCTAAATAGTCCAGGGCACAGTGACCAATCAGTAGAGTTGGGATTCAAATGCAGTTCTGACTTCAAAGCTCATGTTCTTATCAACGAGCTTTTCTGGGATGCTATTATAATTCTGTCCCATCCCGAGTTCCTCTAGGGAACATATCCTTCAGGACTTTGCTGAAATGTCACCTAATGCAAGATATCTTCCTTAACCTTCTCAGGTAAGTAACTTCCTGTTTTCTTATAGTTCTTTACTTATATTACTACCAATTATCATATTGCTATATAATTATTTGTTTTAACCATTGGAACAGGGCTGTCCAACCGAAATATAATGTGAGTCACATGGGTAATTTAAAAATTTTTTAGTGGCCACATTAAACATAACAACAGATGAAATAAATATTTTACTTAACCTATTATACCCCAAATATTATCAACATAAAAACATTGAGATATTTTGCATTCTTTTTTGTTCTTCAAAATCGGTTATGTATTTTACACTTACAGCACATCTCAGCCAAACTTCAAGTGCTCAGAGCCACAAGTGGCTGGTAGCTACCATATCAGACCTCACAGAACTAAAACGAAATCCTCTAACCTGGGCAGCAAGTTCTCCTTCCATCTTTGAATTTTCTCTTGACTAGCACACAAAATGTCATTAATGTATGCCCAATTAATAAACCAAGAGACCTATGGAAAGAATATAGAACTCAAAGAAATGCAGAGATGCAGACTGGGTCATACTGCTAAAAAGCAAGGATATGTGAGGACAACAAAAATAATTTCAATAGCAAGCCATGACTGTGCCACTACACTCATGGGTGACAGAGCAAGAACCTACTCAAAAACTAATAAATAAATTAATTAAATAACCATATCTGCCGGGCTCACGCCTGTAATCCAAGCACTTTAGGAGGCAGAAGCAGGACTGCTTGAGTCCAGGAGTCCGAGACCAGCCTGCGCAATATTGAGACTCCATCTCCACACAAAACTTAAAAATTACAGCATGGTGGTGCATGCCTACAGTTCCAGCTACTTTGGAGGCCAAGTTATGATTGCTTGAGCCTGAGAGATGGAGGTTGTACTGAGCTGAGATCACGCCACTGCACTCTAGCCTGGGTGACAGAGCCAGACTCTCTCTCAAAAAATAAATAACTACATCAGTGTACTTCAGCAACCTAATAAGAAACAGTCAAACCACCTTGTTTATTCTGCTTTTCTATGTGGAGCTGTTGCAAATAATTAGCAAGAGCAATAATAGCAGCTGACATTTATAGACTATGGGCCACTGTTCCAAATATCTTACTTTCATTACCTCATTTAATTTTCAGGACTCAGGGACAATTATCTCTATTTTCATAAGATGAAAATAAGGTGTAGAGTGCATAAACCCTATGCAGAGATTTAAACCTAAGCAGCAGAGCTCTTTCAAACTGCTACATTCCACTCTTTCTTCTAATTCATTAAACATAAATTACATGCAGAGCCCCACTTTAGGCACTGAGGTGGCTAAAAGTTTAAAAGGCATAGTTTGGTTGAACAAGTATTTGCTGTCAGCCATGTGTGAATATAAAGGCAGGTAAGGTTTCTGCTCTCAAGGAGCTAAGTCAGACAAGCACTTCATAACCCTGGATATTCATTACAAGGAATAAAGGTAGAGAACGGGGGCTCGTTCGTTTACATTTTTTGGTATGATTAAGAAGTTTACAGGAAACAGCCTGGAATCATGAAAGCAAAGTTCCAGCACTTTACAGTCATAGGAACAGTTTTGTGAAAATGGAAAGCAGAAAAGCGGAAATCCGCGACGCCTACCTAACTTTTCCCTGGTGGTTCTGTCTGACCTGACCGTAAAAGGAACGCTAGATGTAGATGTGCCATATAAGTCCCTACAAGAAAAAACCCATACCCTTCCCATTCACCAACCTGGACCTTAACACGTTCCCCACTCGTGTTCTGGGCCCCGAGAGCGTCCCGCACGCTCAGTTTGGCTGAAGGTTTGTGCCTGGGGCAGGGGGCGGAGGAACAAAAGCGCACAGCCCAGAGCAAGCAGCGGGCCCCCAGCATCGTGCGGCCGCCCTGGCCCTCCGTGAATGCAGCCCAGACGTCGCGGTTCGAATGCGCCTGCGAGAACCCTCGCTTCACAGCGGCTCCAGCTCGGCTATAAGACACTCCAGAACCCTCCAGCTGCACGCTTCCTCCTTCAAGACTTCCAGCTCTGTCCGCACAGGACCTTTCCGCTTGCCTCTTCCCAACGGGGCGGAACAGACAGGATACTTGACAAACGCCTAAAAGAAACCAAGTGGAGTCTGCAACTGGAGCGCCCCGCTGCCCGCGACAATTCTAAACCTACGTACCGACCCCAGGCCGCAACACGCGCGGCCCCTCGTACGTCACCACGCCAACACTACTTACATCATCACGCTACGGCGAATGCGGGAGAGCATGCGTAGTTGCGACCCAGGCTTAGGAAGATGTGCGGGAGGGGGCGGGGTCAGGAGCGGAGACGGGGCGGAGCTAATGCCCTAAGGTGGTAGGGATTACTGCTGAAAGAACCAGGGAGCGCATTGGAGTGGAATCTGAGGCTCTTCATTTCTAAAGTTTCCAGGTGAGGCTGAGAAACTGAAAGGCATGGAGTGACTGATGGGGTCGGTTTCCCTCTCCATCAGTCAACAACTAACGGATCCAACTAAGTGGAGGCTCTTAGCTGTTGACAGGATTTTTGCTTAAAGAGGTCAGTCGTTCCGGAGTTCTCCGCAGAGAAAAATCAGACATAGCCCCTCTACGCCAAGTCACAGTTGTGTGGTATCAGACAGCTAAACAGACAATTGCATAAAAGGGTCATCAGTTGCCTGACAGCGTCTAAGCGTAGGACGCCAGAGGTGGCTTCCTGGAGAAGGTAGTCCTCTGACAGGTACGTTAAGAGGAACGGGAGGGACCTCGATACGGCAGGCAGAGAAGGCAAGACGGTGGAAAGATGTCACAGAGACTGGAGGAATGTCAAGTGTTACCGGCCAGAATTTTCCAACTCTCCCTCTTTCCTCCAACACAGCTATCTGCATTTGTTTGACCTGGAAACAATGATCTTTTTACATATTAGGCTACCTTTTAATTTACCAAAAAAAAAAAAATTTTTTTCTGTAACTCAATGACAGTCATGAAAAAGTTTTTATCTAATTTAAAAAAATAAAACGTGGCCGGGAGCGGTGGCTCACACCTATAGTCCCAGCACTTTGGGAAGCCGAGGCAAGTGGATCACAAGGTCATGAGTTCAAGACCAGCCTGGGCAATATGGTGAAACCTGCCTCTACTAAACATATAAAAATTAGCTGGGCGTGGTGGCGTGCACCTGTGATCCCAGCTGCTTGGGAGGCTAAGACAGGAGAATCGCTTGAACCTGGGAGGCAGAGGTTGCAGTGAGCCAAGATTGCACTAATGCACTCAAGCCTCAGTGACAGAGAGAGACTCTGTCTCAGACAGATAGATAGATAGATAGATAAATAGATAGATAGACAGACAAACAGTAGTTTGGCCAAGTACAGTGGCTCACACTTGTAATCCCAACTGTTAGGGAGGCAGAAGCAAGAGGGTTGCTTCAACCCAGGAGTTTGAGACCAGCGCTTGCACTCGCTCACTTTCTCTCTCACTTTTACCTTCAAGTTGCCACTATTATTACGCCCATTTTACAAATAAGAGAACTTAAGAAAGGCTAGATGACCCACTTAAGGATAAGTGTGAGATTTAAACCCAGAAGGGCTGGCTCTATGCACTAAAGCATTATGCTATATTATACAGTATCCCAAGGTGGAAATGAAATCATGGTCCCTTCCATCAAGCAGCTCATGCTTTAGAGATGGAGACAAGCAAGAAAAGAGACTACTGAAATAAAAGTCAGTAACTGCACACATAGGTGTATGAGTTGTTCTGCATTTGTTTGGCCTGAAAACAGTCACCCTTATATATTTGGCTACCTCTTAAATTTCTCCAAAAAAATTATTTTGGATATTTTATCCAAATATTAAATTGGATAAAATATTTTATAATAAGATCATTATACATTTATTACAATATATTTTATATAAAAATGTGCTTCCTGGTTCTATATAATAAAAATTATAATTATAAATGATAAAATTATAATATATTGCATAACATATAATATTTTATATTTTTCTCCTCTCTAGAGGAGACAGTTAAGCTGACTTTTTGAGAAGGATCAATATTTTGCCAGGTAGGCATGTAAGAAAATTTCCTGCCAGAAGGTGGACAGGAAAGGTTGCCAAGAGGACAAATGCCCTGGAAAAAACTGTAAAACCCTTCTCAAGACAGACTAGAGGGTGGAAGTGAGGACTCCAATAGCAGTGGACAAACATTTCTCTTTCCTCTCAGATTGCTTGCACCATGGTGGCCCCTGCCCAGTAGCCTCCTTGGCCTGGCTGCGGGAAGCGTAAAGGCAAGGCTCAGTATGTGTTGGCCAAGTGGGCGCTGCGATACCGGCGGGCCCTGTCAGCTAGAGCCCAGGCTACAGGGCATCCTCATCACCTGCAACATGAACAAGCGCAAGTGCGTGGAGGAGGCCTACAGTTTGCTCAACAAATACAGCGACGACATGTATGGGCCAGAAAAGCTTACAGACAAGGATCAGCACCCCTCTGGAAGTGAGGGAGAAGATGATGATGTGGAGGCTGCCTTGAAGAAAGAAGTTGGTGATATTAAGGTATCTACAGAGATGAGGCTAAGAAGATTCCAGTCAGTGGAAAGTGGAGCAAATAACGTCATCTTCATCAGGACACTTGGGATAGAACCTGAGAAATTGGTGCATCATATTCTTCAGGATATGTACAAAACCAAGAAGAAGAAGACTTGAGTTATTCTACGAATGTTACCCATCTCAGGCACATGCAAAGCTTTTTTAGAAGATATGAAAAAACATACAGAAACATTTTTGGAACCCTGGTTTAAAGCTCCGAACAAAGGGACAGTTCAGATTGTGTACCAATCTCGAAATAATAGTCACATGAATAGAGAAGAAGTTATCAGAGAATGGGCAGGAATAGTGGGCACCTTCAATTCAGAAAATAAAGTGAATCTCACCAATCCACAGTACACGGTGGTAGTAGAAATCATCAAAGCTGTCTGTTGCCTGAGTGTTGTGAAAGATTGCATGTTGTTGAGAAAATACAATCTCCAGGAGGTAGTGAAGAGCCCTAAGGATCCATCACAGCTTAACTCAAAGCAGGGAAATGGGAAAGAAACTAAATTGGAAGCTGCTGACATCAGATCAAAACAACATAGCAGAAGGAAAAAATAACCAGCAGGTACCAGAGAATACTGAGGAGCTGGGGCAGACAAAACCAACGTCTAATCCGCAGGTGGTGAATGAGGGAGGAGGCAAACCTGAACTTGCAAGTCAAGCCACAGAAGGACCCAAATCAAATGAAAATGACCTCTCATAGGAGGTCATTTGGTGTTGAGGTGGGTTTTCAACTGGGATTCTGTGAGATGTTGTGGGGTTCCACCTGAAATTGTGACTAAAAACAGTTTTTTATTTGTGTGCTGCATTATGCTGTTCTCACAGTAGTGAACAATGATTGCGCAGCCCTATTAACAGTTTTGTTAGGGATCTTTAGCCCTTCTGGTATTATGTATAGGCAGACCCATGTGCTACTATTGCAAAGAGGGGAGGATGGGAGAAGGGGGATATTGGCCTCTCCTAGGCTTCTCTTATGCAGCTGACTTATGGGAGTAAACTGACTGTGAAGTAGAAAATCAGAAGGAAGTTTTCATTCTAAGGAAGGAGTTTTTACATGCCACAACTTAGCTGTCCACCTGCCACTTTGTTGTAAACACTGCAAAAATGTGGATCATGTAGGTTAGAACTGAATTGTTTACTGAAGTTTTTGGACTTTTGTGATTTTCTTGTTTGGTTATGTCTGTTTTTATATTTTATTAACATTGGTGTGTAACAAAGCTGACAGTTCAGTGCTGCAATTCTGGAAGGCAAGATATGAGAAAGGAGAACCATTTAGGCACAGAGCTACAGACATTTCTGAAAAAGTTGTTGATGAATTTCAGTCTTCTGAGCATACTTCAGTATACTAATATGACAAAGGACACCAAGAAATTCTGTCTTTATAACAAAAGCTACTTCTCAAGGGTTTTATATGGACTCATTCCAAGCTGTCCTGTCTTTGCAAAGACAGGACATTGTCTGTGGCATGCAACTTAGAAAACTAGCAGTTGTAAACTAGCAGTTGTAACTATAAATCATAGCCACTTGAGAAGAAAGGATATTCATTATTTTCAAATGGCTTTCGGATTATCAAAACAGTAAGGCTTTTGTTCAGAAACCACATTTAGTCAAAAGGTTTAGGAAGCAAATGATTTAGTAGCAGAACTTATCTCAGGAAAGGAGAATATGCATAGTTGGTGAGAATCTAATAATAACATTAAAATGCTGGGGCAAAATGCAGTACAAAATTGAAAAGACTTTATTCTCAGTAAGTTGATTTACCGATATTTCATGTGATACTAAAAAGATTTTGTATAATTAACTGAAAAGGAGCAGCTTCTCCATCCAGGATGATGGGTCGACAGGTTTCACTAATATTTGTCATGCTGTAGCATATGTAAGATTTGTAAATGATGAAATTCAAAGAAAACTTCTTCTGTTGCTAGGAGCCTGCCAAAACAAAGGCCAGTATATAATGTTGTGACATCATATCTGATAACCAGAGGTCTGTCATCTACATTCTTGGTGCCTTATCAGTGGTTGTTTCCATAAGTCATTTTGCATTATTAAAAAAAAAAAAAATCTTAGGCCAGGTGCGGTGGCTCAAGCCTGTAATCCCAGCACTTTGGGAGGCTGAGGCGGGTGGATCATGAGGTCAAGAGATCGAGACCATCCTAGTCAACATGATGAAACCCCGTCTCTACTAAAAATACAAAAAATTAGCTGGGCATGGTGGCACGTGCCTGTAATCCCAGCTACTCAGGAGGCTGAGGCAGTAGAATTGCTTGAACCCAGGAGGCGGAGGTTGCGGTGAGCCGAGATCGTGCCATTGCACTCCAGCCTGGGTAACGAGCAGGAGTGCATCTCAAAAAAAAAAAAATCTTGATGTTGACGTTATAGCATACTGCTTTCTTCCCAGAGATGTTGATATCAAAAACTTGAAGATACAGTGATGTTCTGAATAATGCTACAAATCTGGTTACCTGTATCAAAGACCCATTTATGCAGAAATGTTAAAAAACACCCAAAATGAAAACCTGGACAAACAGCATATAAACTTCTTGCACCGTACAGACATCCAGTGGCCTATCAGAGGAAGAGTTCTCTACAGGATATTTGAGTTGAAAGGTGAATGCCAGAGTACTTACAAGGAAACAGCTTTTGCTGAGTGCTTTGGAAATGAAAAATGACTGCAGGAAGTAGCCATTTAGTAGACATTGTTCATCATATGAACAAATGAACAAGTCTCTGAAAGGTTCTGGGGAAAAATAGTCTTTCTTAAAGTGACAAGAGTCTTAGATCTAAAAGGAAACTGACTTGCCACCTTGCCAGAGGAGTTCTTGAACTGTTTCTGTAGTCACTTGGACTTGAAAATGAAGAGTACAACCCTCAAATCTTGCTCTAACCCACCTGGAGGAACCACAAAACCCAGTTAAATAGCATTTTTTTCTCCTTTTCCCAGCACTAGTATATAACTGCATATGAAGAACCTTTTCTCTAAATCTGCTCAGCTTGAAATTTTGTCTCTGATGGAAGAGAATGAACACAGCCCTAGTGGGAACAGTCCTAGGTTTGTGTGAAATAAGCGTATTCTTCAACTTCGTGCTCACACTCACATACAATGAGGTTTCCCTGCAGGGGTTTCCTGAATTTGAGTGTTTTCAAGGCCTATTTTTCGGTAAAGCAATTGAAAAAGGCAGACACCAACAAAGTCTACAAAATAAACTGTCCAGATTAAGAATATTAAGGAGCTGTAAAGTTAGCTTGTGGAAATAGGCTTATCCTTAAGTTTTAAAAAGTTAGGAACTAGTAAAAATGTTAGGCTTCCTGCACAAGTTGCTATGTTTACTTAATGGCTAGTGAACATTGGAATATATTTTTATCCTCCAAACTAGTGGTTCTGTTTGGGAAATGAGACTAGAATGATTTGAGAGGGGCAAAGATAATAGGCAGGACTTTCCTTCTATAGCTTTATATATTCAGAATGTTAATGATGTTGAAGTTACCTTGAAAGGATTGATAAGACTATTCTTTTTTTTTTTTTTTTTTTTTTTTTAACGCCCGTTCCCCACCTTCAATAAGAGGATTCTTAATATCATTTAGGAGAATAGGGAGGATAGGATTTTGGTGCCTTCTCCAGCAGACTTGCTCTACGACAAAAATTCTTTTGATAGTGCAAGACAAAAGGACTTAGGAAAAAATTGGCCATATGCCTACATACAACTCTGTGGAACTAAGTTGTTTTTACTTTGTGAAAGCTGCTACTCTATGGAAAGATTTTGATTTTATAGTTTGTTTTTAATTGCCTTTTATATTTATTTGCATTTGGTAAGGCTCGGTAGTTATACAGGCTGTTCTTTCCCGGCTACAAAATCCTGTGTTTGGTTGTAACGTGAACTCATTAAAAGATTTGTTTTCAGGTTTATCAACTGTTTATTTTCACTGACATTTGAACATGTTATTTTATAAATGATGAGGTTCCAGGGTAGGAACTGAGTGCTTTTTATTCCCCTTTTTTTCTTTTAAAAAATTATGTCAGTTAAAAACACAAAAACTGCCGTCTGTGGTTTATAAAACTTGTTCAGCTTCATAGAGGAGAGTGCTAAACTTTGTATTTTAAAACATGTTTATCTAAGGTTAAACATAGTTTTCCAATGTTATTTTTAATTTGTATTTTGCTTTTGGTACGGCCAAATATCGAGCTTGTTTTTCATATTTCCTGATATTTTCAGAAAAATGAAAATAAATTTGTTCCCTACAAAAAAAAAAAAAAAAAAGAAAGACTAGAAAATATCTCATCTGAAAATACTTGGTGTTGGAGGTGGAACCTAGTGAGAGGTGTTTGGATCATGGGGGCCTCATGGAGGCCTTGGTGCCATCCTTGCAGGAGTGAATTCTCACTCCATCAGTTTTTGCAAGAGCTGATTGTTTAAAAGAGCCTGGCACCCACCTCCCTCTTTCTTCCTTCCTCTCTTGCCATATGATGCTTGCTCCCCTTTGCCTTTCTGAATGGCTGAATGACAACAAACCTTGACATGATTTACTTTGAGTGGAAGCAGATTCCTGTGTCACAGGAATCCTTTTGCACAGCCTGCAGAACTGTGCAAATAAATGAATACATACATCTCTTACTAATTAAAAAAAACTACGTGGGCACTTCTTGAACCTTCAAAAAGGAAAAATGGAAACTTGCAGCCAGCGCCTTCAGAATTATGTAGCTATGGACTTTTAAGGGAAAATAAGTATGTTGGTTCAAAATCTGGGGACCACGACAGTCTTTGGTACATAGCAATGATGTTTATCCCAGTGCAAATCTTTTCTATGCCTATGCCTACCCTGTCCAGACTATCAAAAGTAGTAACCAGTTGGCTCATTTCTTATGCCACTTTTCTGTCTTGCCTTCTGCTATGGCTTGGATATGGTGTGTCAAAAACTCATGTTGAAATTTGATCCCTGACGTGGTGTGGTTGAGAGGTGAGACCTCATGAGCGGTGTCTGGTGTACGGGAGCAGATCCCTCATGAGTGGCTTGGTGCTATTCCCATGGACTGCATGAGTTCTCACAAGAATGGGCTTGTTCCCACCACAGGGGGTGGTTATAAAGCCAGGATGTCCCCCAGGTGTTCCCTTTTTGCACATGTCCACTTCCCCTTTGACCTTCTTCACCACGTGGTGATGCAGCACAAAAGCCCTCACCAGAAGCCAGGGCCATGCCCTGAACTTCTCATCCTATAGAACCATGAACTAAATAAGCCTCTTTTCTTTAAAAATTGCCCAGTCTTAGGTATTCATTTACAGCAACATAAAATGGACTAAATCACCTTCTTTCTCTCCCAACTCCAGAGGACAATGTGGAGCTTAAGAACTGGAGTCTGAGTCCCAGGGAGTAAGGATCCTGTCTTCCTTTACTCTCTCACTACTTGTTTAAGCCAAAAGGTTAATTATGTTCATAGCAGGGGACCACTGCCCTAGTACGTTGAAGACAAGGGTAAACTGGTTGAAACAGAAGACTAGTAATGGTTAACTAAAAATATATGTATCATTGAAAGTTGACTATACCACTTACGCTTCTGGTGCTCAGTTCAGACCATCCCCTGTATCTTGTGCTATATCAAATCACATCATCTTCTTTTTATTTTTGTTTTCAATGTTGGCTTGACACCTTTTCTTTTAGATTCATCAGCTTCCAGACAGTAGCCCAAATGATGTTTTTAATATGAATATATATTTGACCCTTGAACAGCACAGATTTGAATTGTGCAGGTCCACTTATATGTGAATTTTTTTCAATAAATATATTGAAAATTTTTGAGGAGATTTGTGACAATTTAGAAAAAGTTGCTAATGAACCGTGTAGCCTAGAAGTATCAAAACATTTAATAAAAAGATACATGTAGTCACTGGTCTATTTTATCATTTACTACCATAAAATATACATAAGTCTATGATAAAAAAAAGTTAAAATTGGCTGGGGGCAGTGGCTCACACCTGTAATCCCAGCACTTTAGGAGGCCAAGGTGGGTGGGTCACCTTAAGTCAGGAGTTTGAGACCAGCCTGGCCAACATGGTAAAACCCCCATCTCTGCTAAAAGTACGAAAACCAGCCAGGTGTGATGGGCACCTGAAATCCCAGCTACTCAGGAGGCTGAGACAAGAGAATTGCTTGAACTGGGAAGGCAGAGGTTGCAGTGAACTGAGATCACATCACTGCACTCCAGCCTGAGTGACAGAGTAAGACTGTATCTAAAAAACAAAAAAACAAACCAAACCCCAGACCATGCATGGTTCTATTCATAGTTGAGAAAAATTGCTGTAAGGCATGCAACCTTAAGCCTTAAAAAATAGGGCCAATTTTTTTCCACAGTGTCACCAGCCATATATGAGAGTTTCAGTTGCTTTACATTCTTGTCAACACTTGATCTTTATTTTTTTTTAAATATAGAACACTTCATAAATATTTGTGTCGTCCTTGAACAGAGACCATGCTAATCTCTGTATCCTTTCAATTTTAGTATATATGCTGTTTAAATGAGAATAAGACTTGGTCTTAATCAAACTTTCTAATGTAGCCGTATTGGTGGGGAGTAGTTGTATCCATTGCTGTTTTGATTTGCATTCCCCTGATTGTTATTCTTGTTTGGCACCTTTTCAGTGTTTATTTTCATTGGACTTTCTTCTTGGTAAATTGACTGTGTCTTTTGCCCATTTTTCTATTGAAAAATTAGTAGTCTTATTTTTCCTAAAGACTACTCTTATTGAGTAGTCTTTTTTCTTATTAATCTATGTAAGTTCTTATTGTCCATATTTTAGTTACAAGTTCCTCTCAGTTATATGCATTACAATACCTTCAACCACTCTGTAGGTTGTCTTTTCAATAACGTATTGTGAGTAAATGGCTGAGTGACAGCAAACCTTGAAATTATTTGATCCTTTTCTTAAGAAAGAGTGAACGGTTCTTGAAAAAAACTAAGGCATTCAAACATTAATCTTTGTATTTTTCTGGCAATGTAAGACCAATGCTTTTGTCATGTCTCCCGTTATTCTTTAAAAAATGGTTTATTTTCCTAATTTGTTTTATATTTGCTTACATTTTTTGTTCTAGTTGCATGGTTAATAGCCTTCTCCACAGTTTCTATGTGGTGATCTTCAAGGGACAGTTTTACAGTTTAGAATTTCACTGTACATTGTTGGAGACTGATTCTGGCTGTTTGCAAATATTTTTGTGTATGATTAACCTGTAGGTTACACGAGAAAACAAGATAACTCAGAAAAGAAAAATCATATATTTTCTTTCAATTGTACAAAACTTCAAAGGTTGAGATTCGCTTTTTAAAATTTCTCTTTATTGCAGTTGTGTTCCATCCTGTATTCCCGACACTTTGGGAGACTGATGAAAGTGGACTGCTTGAGGTCAGAAGTTCAAGACCAGACTGGGAAACATGGCAAAAACCCATCTCTACCAAAAATACAAAAAATTATCCAAGTGTGATAGTGCATACCTGTGGTCCCAGCTACTCAGGAGGCTGAGATAAGAGGATAACCTGAGTCGGGAGGCAGAGGTTACAGTGAGCTGAGATGGCACCACTATACTCCCACCTGGCTGTGGTTAGCAGAGTGAGACCTGTCTCAAAAAATAAAATAAAATAAAATTTATCTTAATTGCATACACAATGTATTAGTCCATTTTCATGCTGCTGATAAAGACATACCCAGGACTAGGTAATTTATAATGAAAAGGAGTTTTTTTTGTTTTGTTTTGTTTCATTTTGTCTTTTTCTGAGACAGGGTCTCATTCTGTCATCCAGGCTGGAATGCAGTGGCACAATCTCAGCTCACTACAACCTCCGCCTCCCAGGTTTAAGTGATTCTCCTGCCTCAGCCTCCCAAGTGGCTGAGATTACAGGCATGTGCCACCATGTCTGGCTAACATTAGTATTTTTTTTAGTAGAGATGGTGTTGTACCACGTTGGCCAGGCTGGTCTCGAACTCCTGACCTCAAGTGATCTGCCCGCCTCAGCTTCCCTAAGTGCTGAGATTACAGGCATGAGCCCCATGCCCAGCAAAGAAAAGGAGGTTTAATGAACTCACAGTTCCACATGGCTGGGGAGGCCTTACAATCATGGCAGAAGGCAAAGGCATGTCTTACATGGCAGCAGACAAGAGAGAGAACTTGTGTAGGAGACTTCCCATTTATAAAATCATCAGATCTTGTGAGACTTATTCACCACCATGAGAACAGCATGGGAAAGGATCCATCTCCATGATTCAATTACCTCCCACTGAGTCCCTCCCATGACACATGGGAATTGTGGGGAGCTACAATTCAAGATGAAATTTGGATGGAGACACAGCCAGACCATATCATGTAACTTCATAATGAGCACTCCATCTTGTCCTTTTACTATTACACCTACATTATGCAGCAGTTTCTATTAATGAGACAGAAAAGAATGAACAATTGTTTCCAGTTTCCAAAAATGTTACATGTGAAGAAAAAATGCTTCTGAAAAAGTAAACTCTACAAATGATCAGATTTTTTTTAGGGGGTAGTACTTTTAACTAATATAGTGTAAGTTTACAACTGTGAACAAAAACGTGATTGGCCTTTGGTCAGTATTATTACTGTATTAAAATCTTCTATAAATTAAACATTTTTAAAAAAGAAAAAAAATTTCTACAGTCCTACGTCCCTTTATTGCCTGCACTTTGGGCAGATTACTCTCACTGCCTCACTCTTGATATGTCTCTGCTGGCAAGTGTGGTATTTTTGGTAAACTTCTGGCAAATACTTTGTCACCTAAGAAAGTTCCCTGCTGTTCCTAAGGGATTACTACTCACCCAGTATATGGTTAGCTCTAACTACATAATATCATGAAGAGTGAAGGATACATTTGGAAAAGAATATAGTGTGCCTAACAATCTATAAATTCTAACTTGAGAAAATTTTATTCTTATGGCAAAGAATCTGGAAAAGATGTTTTCCTGAAATTCATGCAGCCATCAGTATTCACCATTCATCTAAAACTAAAAGACAATCCTGTAAGCACTTAAAGACACAGAAAGAAGATGAACTTATGCCCTGGTTTTTCAAGCAGGAAGATAATTAATGACTCTGTATGTTTGTTTGAACTTCTTTCAGAAGAGGCTTGTGAAAGCTATTTTAGAACAAGGAAGGCAAGCTGATTCTACTTTTACCTGGATGTTTCCTTTAATAGGTGTATTTCTTTAGCAGAACATTTTTGAATTTCACCAATAACTGAGAACAACAGGAAAGAAGATTCATGACATGCTTTCCCTGAAAATAGATTTATCCTACTCTTTCCAAGTTTTAC